AAAGAAAGAAAGAAAGAGAGAAAGAAAGAAAAAGCTAAGGGCTCAGCACTGACCCAGAGAGGCTCTGCTGTCAGCCCCAGCCTTTGCCATGTGGCTTTTCGAAGGAATAGCTCTGACTGCAACTTCTGGGCCTTCCACGTTTCTTTCCACCCCTGTACTTCCTTCCCACTGTGGCAAAGCTGGAGCTTTACTGAAGGGCTGCAAGAAGCAGCTTTTCCTTGTGTGTCATCTGTCCTGTGTTTCACATTCATAGAACCAGGTCTCTCCTGGCTGCCTCTCTGATCAGAGTCAGCTAAGGGCCACACTTTGGGAGACCCATTTTCATGTGTCTTCCACCAAGCCACCTGTGATAGTGCCTTCCTTATGAGTAACTTTCTGGAAAGTGGAGTACGGTGAAGCCAGTGGAAGAGGGCTTATCTCTTGGGTAGGGAGGCTGAAGAGTAGAGATTGAGCCCTCCCCTGGCAGTAAGTGTTCTGTTACTCACATTAAGGCTGGATATCCCATTTCTTGGTGGGGAAGTAAATGTTGACTGGCTTGCCTTCCTTCCTTAGGTGGTTTTTTGGCAAAATCCCCAGAGCCAAGGCAGAAGAAATGCTTAGCAAACAGCGGCATGATGGGGCCTTTCTAATCCGGGAGAGTGAGAGTGCTCCTGGGGATTTCTCCCTGTCTGTCAAGTAAGTATTTTCTTCTATGCTTGCCTGGAAGCCTGTGTCCCACCACCTCAACCAGGAGGTCATTGGTCATGTTTCTGGCTATGCCAAGCTCTAGTAGAGACTTGGTCTAATCTGTATTTTAATTTTACATTAAAATCCTAATTTCTGAGCTCAGCCTGGTGGTGCATTCCTGTAATTCCATCAGTCCAGGAAGATGTGGCTGGAGGATCAAAGGTTGAAGCACAGTTTAGGAAATTTAGTGAGACCCTGTCTCAAAATAAAAAGGGTGGCACCATGGAAAGTAGCATATGCCCATAGTACCAGCACTCGGGAGGCTGAGGCAGGAGGATTGCAGTGAGTTCAAACTTAGCCTGGGCTACATAGTGTATACAAGGTGCCTGAACTACATAACAAGACCTTGTCTCAAATAACATAACGTAACATAACATAGACTGGAGATATAGCTCAGTAACAGACCACCTCTGAGAGCAATCCTTAGACCACCCAAAGGAAAAAAAAAATTCCTAAATGTCTGGCTCCAGGGGCCAGGGAGATAGCTCAATAGAATAAGCGTTTGCCTGGCAAGTGAAGGGTCGTGAGTTCAATCCCCAGTCCTTCAAATGAATAAATAAATAAATAAATTTATTTCTGGCTCCAAAATCAGTTATGGCAGCATGGGGTTTAGATTCTTCAGTAGGGCAGGTGTTCAGGAGCCACTGCCCTCTGAGGCAGATGCAGCCAGGTTTCCTGAATCCACACCAGTCCTAACCCCTGCGCTTACTGGAATTCCTGCTGAGCTTTCAGTGTCAGCTGCCTTGTCTGCCTTCAGCTGACAGCCTGCCTAACTTCACACCTATCCTAGATCTCTCACATTAAGTTGAAAAAGTTACTACCACAAGGGACTTAGAGTTTTTGCTTTCTTTGTGGTAAATGTAACTGTGGAAGGGAACCTAGTGATTTGAAGACCAGCCTGAACTACATAGAAAAACCTTGTCTCAAAAAAAAAAAAAATGCGTGTGTGTGTGTGTGTGTTCATTATATGCTTAATGTATGGAATTCTTTGAAGTGCAGATTAAAATTTACAGTTGAGGGTGATTTGGTTTCATGGTGCTGAGGATTGGCCTCACAGCCTTCCCACTGAGATGCATCTCTAGCCCCTTTTTTAATTTTGAGATAGGGTCTCCCTAAGATACCTGGCTTGAAATTTCAATCCTCCTACCTCAGCCTCCTGAATGCTGGCATTACAGGCATCATGCTCTTTTTCTAAGTAAAGATTTGATAAGTGTCAGGTGATCTTTGTGCTGCGTCACAAATAAATTTGCAGTATAGTTGGTTTTTATTCCCAGCATGTGCAAGTCAAACTGGGTGTAATCAGTTGTCCTTGTAACAAAGCCTTTTGAAGTGCATGAATGAGAATATGCAGTTAAGTGGGGTATGGAGAGCCAGGTGTGGGGGCGCACACCTATGATCCCAGCACTCAGGAGGCTGAGGCAGCAGGATCAGTGGGAGTCCATGGCCATTCTGAACTGTAGCCACCAGGCCGTGTGCCCCAAAACAGCACTCTGGTTGGTGTGACGCTTCTTCTCAAGAGTCCTGCGCCCTGAATCCAGCTGTATCAGCCCAGTGCAAGTGGTTTCTGGGGCCAGAAGTATCCCCAGGGGCAGGCCCTTCAGGAAGCTTTGTACATATCCCTACTTTTTCTTGCATGAAAAACAGTACAATGGTCTCTCCCCTCTGTAGAACCTGCAGTTCTACTTTCCTCAGTTTCATTTACGCGAGGTCGAGTCCAAAAATACTAAATGGGAAATTCCAGAAATAAGCAACTTGTAAGTTTTAAATAACTTTTTTATAGTGCCAGGGAGATAGCGCAGCAGCACAGGCATCTGCCTGGAAAGCACAAAGTCCTGAGTTCAATTTCTAGTACCCAGAAAAAGCCTTTATATTACAATATACTGTTATAATTGCTTGATTTCCTTATTGTCTCACTGGAAATTGAACATTATCCTAGGCATGTATGTGCATATGTATAGGGAAAACATCATACATAGTATTTGTAGGGTGTGGTGCTTGTGGTTTCAGGCATTGGCAGGGGGCTTGGCACAATCTCCCAAGGAAAGATGAAACACGCGTCTTCTCCTCACTGGCTTGAAGCTTAGTGCTGCCACCTGCTGGACTGTTTTTAGAAAGCCTTTGATTTCTTCAAGCTTTTAAATCTAAAGGAAAGACTGCATTCATTGAACAAATGTTCATAGCATGCCTTTGAGGACAGGATGGGAAAGCCCTTGCTGAGCTTCTGTTCAAGCCAGATGTACTGTGCTAGGTCCCATGAGCCAGTACCAGTCGCTCTTGCTATTTTTGCTAACCGTGTAAAAGTATGCTATCCAGTGATACAGAATTTTTTTCTTTGGTACCTGAGCCTCTTTTATTGTCCCAGCAGTGTCCTTTACCCATGAACAGGGTAAAATAAACTAAAATTCCTACATGAAAAACACAACTTGGAACTACTCCTAGTTACAAGAGAATTGTGTGAAGTATTTCCACTCTCTCCTCCTCTTATGTCCAGGTCTCTCATCTTTCCTTTTTTTTTTTTTTTTTTTTTGGTGGTACTAAGAATTGATCTCAGGATGTTGCACTTGCCAGGCAAGTGCTTATTCTACTAAGCTGTCTCCCCAGCCCTTTTCCCAATTCGAGTGTGACACCACATCTTAATATTTTTGCTTCAGAAGACGTTAGTAAGGGCTGGTAAGATAGCTTGACAGACTAAGTGCCTGCATAGGCAAGCACAGGGACCAGGGTTCAGTCCTGAGCACCACATACCATGCTGACCCCACCCTCAGGCATGCTGAGCTGACCACCAAGTCTGGGTGTGGTGGCACACACCTGTAATCCCAGCACTGAGGAGGCTGAAGACAAGAGGATCACTACAAGTTTGAACTTTGTAGTAGAAGTAATCCCAAGCCCTTGTAAGTAAGGTTCTACTAGTTGGCAGAGTGTAGGGAACAGGTGTACAGCAGGTTAAGACACTCTGTTTATATCTTAAAGACATCTTCAGAACTGACTCCTGGGTGAGACTTTCCATCTTTAAGGATTCTTCATGATGTTACTAGTAACTGTTAGTCATGAAGGGTGTCAGGGATGCCCGTGATCATCCCAGCTCTGTTCACTTCTGCGAAGTTCCCACACCCTCAGACTGTGAGGAATTTGTGAGAAAAGTAGTTCTCTACATCTCCTACATAAGCATATGGCCCCTGCCCAGCCAGACAGAAAGCCATGACTGTTCACGCGTGTTTCCCTGCCTCACCAGGTTCGGAAATGATGTGCAGCACTTCAAGGTGCTCCGCGACGGAGCTGGGAAGTATTTCCTCTGGGTGGTGAAGTTCAATTCCTTGAATGAGCTGGTAGATTACCACAGATCAACATCCGTGTCCAGAAACCAGCAGATATTCCTGCGGGACATAGAACAGGTGCCACAGGTGAGCCGAACCTCAATTCAGGATCCTTTCCAGGGAGGAAGACTAGCTCCTTAGGCAAGCTGGTGTCCCAGAGGGTCGCTGCCAGAGCTGCTGGGCGCATCGTCAGTGTTGCCCTTTGTTCCTGTGAAGCTCTGTAGTCTGAAATGTTTGTGCCTTTTCCAGAGGTATTGCTCACTGAAGATAGCCCTTGGCACTTTCTCAGGCACATCATGAGGGAGCGCGCCCTTGGGAGGGCGTAGGGCTATGAATTCCTTCCTGTCCCTCCTATCTCAGCCATGCCTTATGACTAGTGCCATCTTACTTTATTCAAACTCTTAACACTTTGGACCCTGTAAAAACGGGTGTTATGAATGATAGGGACATGAATGTTTTCAAATCTGTGAACAAAAGATTCCTCCAGGCATCCATGCTGCTCCCTACTTGATAAAGTGATACTTTGGCCACCCCACATACACCCTAGTGTTTTGAGCATTGGTGGAAAATTACATTAAATCCACTGAGAGTGAACTTAGAACATGTAAGAATAGGTGGAGAAGGTGCTTCAGGAGTACGAGAATTGACTCGCTTCCCTTCCTCCTCGTAAGCAGTGCTCACAAGGTGCCGGCAGGACTAACGTCAAGAACGCCCTGTATGTGTTCTCCCTCTCCTCTCTTGCAGCAGCCAACGTATGTCCAGGCCCTCTTTGACTTTGACCCCCAAGAGGACGGTGAGCTGGGCTTCCGCCGGGGAGACTTCATCCACGTCATGGATAACTCAGACCCCAACTGGTGGAAGGGGGCTTGCCACGGGCAGACAGGCATGTTTCCCCGCAACTACGTCACCCCTGTGAACCGGAACGTCTAAGAAGCAGAGTATTTAAAGAAAGTGAAAAGTTGAAAACACACAAAAGAATTACACCCACAAGCTGCCTCTAACAGCAGCCTGTCGGGAGCTCTGAACATCTGGCTGGTCACACTGGTGACCCTCTCACTTTTGTTGGAACTTTGGGGGGTGGGAGGGGTTGGATATCAGAATTCCAAAATTTACCTATTGAGTTGTTTTTATTACAGATTCTCCACACTGCTCCCATTTCCCTCCTGTGTCCTTTTTCTCATCTTTTTCTCCTGTCCTTCAGTGCATGACATTTAAGGCCACATATAGTCCCAGCTGATGCCAATAATAAAAGAAAAAAAACCAAGCGGGCTGGTATTTTCTCTATGCAAAATGTCTGTTTTAGTGGAAATGACTGAGAGAGCAGCTGTCTCCTGTTTCTCATGTATACACACAGAGGGAGCGGGCCGGGGGCCTGGCGCCTCTGCAGGAGGAGGACGCCGTGGTTTCCAGAGCACGACTCGAACCTGCGCCTCCACCCACTTCAGTCCCCTCCAGATGTTGTTTTCATAGTGCCTTTTTCCTCATTTTCAAGGGTTTCTTATGAGCGGTGTTCTTTCTTTTGTTTTAAACTTAAGTTAAGACAGTCCAGAGCTTTTCATCCAATTTGTCTCCTACTCTGTGTAAATATATTTCCCTAATGGAAAGGGAAAACAGGATAGAGAAAGGAGACAGCAGAAGTGGAGGGCGTAAAGCCAGAAATCTGTGCAGGCTCAGCTTTAATGTTTGTAAGCCCTGCCCCCGAAGGTGAAGGGATCTCTCTGTGCGGCCGGCAGTCTTTGATCTCCAGGTCTCAGGTGTGACCTGCTTCTCCTGTCCCGAGTCCCTGGGAGCTAGCAAGTTGCAAACAGAAGCCAGAAGAAAAGATAGCTTCTAACTGCCCTTTTAGCTGTGCCAGTCTGTATTCCTACACTGGGTGGGAATGAAAGTACTTGCTTTTCACTTTTTTTGCTCTTAAAATGAGTTCCTGGCTTTCACCTGAGTCCCCTAACCCTCAGGGTGAGCACCGGGACAGCAGCCAGGAAGAATGGCTGTGGGTCCATCCATTTGCTGTGGGCCACAGGCAGTTGCTCCCACCACATCCTGCGCAGCAGGGAGAGTTGGGGAGGCCAAGGCTGTCAGCTTTTGGTTCCACATAATGTGCCTGTAAACCGTTTTTTCCTCAGCCCACCTCCCTGCATAAAACAAGACCACTTCCATTTTTCTTCCTGGAAGTTAGTGACAGTCTTGGGCCTTTGAGTTCTGATGGGTTGGTGGCGTCTTCCTGGACTGTGGTTATGGAGGTGAAGTCAGCCTGGAGCGTCCAAGGCCGGGCTCTCCCTGCCTCCCCTGGCTTCCTCTTACCCTGCTTCTCCTCTCTTCACTGATGATAAAGAAATCTCTGGCATTTTACACCTGGACCATTTGATTGTTTTATTTTGAAATTGGTGTATATCATGAAGCCTTGCTGAACTAAGTTTTGTGTGTATATATTTTAAAAAATCAGTGTTTAAATAAAAAGACCTATGTACTTAATCCTTTAACTGCGGATAGCATTTGGTAGGTAGTAATTAACTGTGAATAATAAACCTACAATGAATTCTTGTGAATAAATATTCAATGAATTCTTCACTCTGTATTTTTCTTCCTCCCTTTCCTGAAAGTAAGTTTTAAACTGAAAGAGGTTAGGTCAGAGAGTCAGGGTTCTTTGGTTCCTATTTTCAACTTGCCTGGCTTACATCATCTTTGGGGAGCAAGTGGGTCTCCCAGGCCTTCTGAGGAGTGAGGGAAACCCACCACCCACGAATTTGGTTGGTTTTCAAAATCCCTTGGGAATTTCTCACTACAGACTGGACTGAGGACTCCACCCTCAGATCTCAAGACCACCCCCCAGTTGAAAACACAACAATACTTTGTTGCCCAGACTGTCTTTGAACTCCTGGGCTCATGCCATCCTCCTGCCTCAGCCTCCCAAGTGCAGGGACTACAGGCAGTCAACACCATATCTGGCCATGAGAAGTTTATAGACCATCCTTTGGGACCTGGACTAGAGAGTAAGAGGTTTAGGAGCATGGAGAGCTGGGCTTGTTTGGTTCTCTTCCTCTCTTTCTGCAGAAGGAATGGGAGGGGGTCTGTGATAAACCAATTTCAACATGCTAAGTAGCTAAGGCTGGTTTGGGGTGGCCTATGCAGCCACACACAGCCCTGGCTGTGGTGGACCTAGTGAGATTTGTTTGGAGAGACAATAAAAAACCCACAGAATTTCCATTTGGATGTTTTGTTTTATTTTGAGAGTCTCACAATCTCACCATATGGTCCAGGCTGGCCTTGAACTTGTAGCAGTCCTGCCTCAGCCTCTCAAGTATTGGGGTTGCAGACAAGTGCCAGCTTCCCTTGAATTTTTTATGTGTTTTTTTGTTTTTCTTTTGTGTTTAGTCCAGGATCTCACTACGTAGATCAGACTCTAGTGATCCACCTGTGTTCAGCCTCCCAAGCCCTGGGATTACAGGTATGAACCACCACACCCAGTCTCCGTGGAGGTCTCAGCATGCCCCAGGGGCAGGGCCAGCACAGTAAGCCAGGGATCGAACCCTGGCCACTGTGCTCTACCTAAGCAGGCACTTTACTGAGCTCTGTGGCCGGCCCTTAATAAAGTTTCGATTTGTTGGAATACTGAAGATAGATCCGACCCCAGCCTTTGCACTGAGCTGTATTTCCAGCCTTCTTATGTTGTGAAACATTGGTCTTGTGTCTCCAAGTACAGCCTGATTACTCGAGGTCAAGTCTTTGGACATAGTAATACACACTTGTAGTCACAGCTGTTTGGGAAACTGAGGCAGAAGGATCATAAGTTCAAGGGCATCCTGGGTAACTTAGGCCCTTGTCTCGATATAAGAGTGGGAATGTAGCTGAGTGTGAGGCTCTAGGGCCAGTCCCTGGCACAGTACCATAAAAAATAAAGCTCCAACCACTGGGCCTCAGGTGTCCCCTGTGCTGCAGGCTATTTGCACCCCCAGCCCCTGGGTCAGTGCCTCTTACCATCCTGGGCCGTGCTAGACACACAGTGGGCCGGCTGTGGCCCCTTTTTCCCTCCTTACGGGGGTGTTTGGCTCCTGGTAACAGTTCCATTCCTGTGGTATATGACCTACACTTCCAACTTGAGAGCTGGGTGAGTCCCCTGGACTTCCTTCACAGACCAGCAGCCACCCCTTCCACTCCCCCACAGCAGGCACCCCTCTTAAGTCATCATACAACTGAAACCACCCCTCTCAGGACTTCTGCTCTCTTAGAAGAACATTCTTTTTTTTTAGCTGCCAGGAATCGGAACTCAGAACCTTTTGTTTGCCTTAAACTATATATCCCTGGAGCATTCTTAATCCTATTCTCATTGTTACGCAAACCTCGGGGAAGTGACTTTCAGAACGGAAGTGTGGACAGCACACAGGTCTGGGGGTCTGGGTCAGAAAGAGGGGTACTTAGAAGCAGATGCACAGTCCTGTAAGCTTGACCTAAAGGTCGGGTGAAACTTCCATGCTGAATCCAGAGCCTTGCACATTCTACTGCTGAGTGACACCCCCAGCCCTGAACAGTTACTCCTGGGACAGCAGGGTTGGTGCTGCAGCCCCATGATAGAGCATATGCTTAGCATGTTCAATTTCCAGCAACACCCCACACCCCTCCAAAAAAAAAAAAAAGAAACAGCAGGCAGGGTAATGTTCAAAGCACAGAGGCAAGGATGGGCATGGTACCTGGACCAGCTCAGAAGGTCCCTGAGCAGCTTGAGGACAGAGCTGGCCATGCTCTGAACGTAGCCAGAGGACACACACCCTGTTGACACCAAAGCTCCCCTCAGCCTTGTAGACAAGTGGCATACTGGAACCTAGGGCCCCAGGGAAAGGCCAAGGTCACGCTGACTCAGGAAGTAGGGATCAGAGCCGAGCCCGGCCAGTCACACAGCCCTGGCCAGCCAGCTGCACCATGTGGCTGGCCTCTTGGTTCCGAGTGGCCTTGTGCTGAGGTGCTGGCACACCAGGGGTGTGCACGGTTAGCCACAGCCTCTCCGCTTCTGCTTTTGGCTGCACACTGGAGAGCCTGCAAAGGCCAACATGAAAAAGACTTGCAAGTGACACGATCCAGCTGAGGTGCTGTGCCACAGATTTTGGGGCTGCTTTCTGACAGCAGCTACTCTGCCCTGAATGTTCAGGGCCCACACTGGGGAGGAATGGGTGGTAGGAAACTTGAGAACCCTGTTAGAAATGTTAAAATTTTAGCCAGGTGCAGTGGTGCACACCTGTGCTCCCAGCTACCCCAAAGACTGAAGCAGGAGGGTGGAAAGTTCAAGACCAGCCTCAGCAATTTAGCAAGACCCTGGCTCAACATAAAAAAAGACTGGGGGTGTAGGCTAGTGCTCGCTGGGTTCAGTCCCACTTGTACCCAGAGGAAGAGGTTTTAAAGAAGGAAATAGACTTGCTGTGCACTGTACCCTCAGCACTCTGGGACGCTAAGGCAGGAGGATTATAAATTCCAGCTCAGCTGGGGCTAATTTAGCAAGACTGTGCCCCAAAAAATAAAGAGCCAGATGTAACAGATGTCCTGGGTGCAAAACAGAAACAAAACAAAGTGTCACAGGCTCTGTAAAACCCATGATACCGCATTGTCTGGCTCCTTCCTATAGGGAAGACTGGAATCATGATGCCTGCTGGAGGCTAAGGGAGGACCAGCCGGGTAGGCGGAGCAGCTGTGAGGACGCGGGCTCTGAGGGCAAGGGGGGGAGGCAGAGCCTGGCCCTGAGAAGGCTGGTGCAGGGAGGCAGAGCCACGAAGGGACCCAGGAGCCCTTAGCACACAAGGCAGGGGCCAGACCAGGCAGGGAAGCCACAGGAAGGAGCCACAGTGAACCCTAATTGGTGCTTCTGTTCATTTATGCGGATTTTAGGTTTGGTTTGGTTTGGTTTGTGTCTTTTTGAGATAGGATCTTGCTATGCAGGCCAGACTGGCCTTGAGCTCACTTTGTAGCCCAGGCTGGTCTCTAACTCACAATGATCTTTCTGCCTCAGCCTCCCGAGTGCTGGGATTACAGGGGTGTGTCACCATGCCTGGTTCATTTCTATTTAAGAACAGCTTTATTGAGCCACATATGGTGCCACATGCCTATAATCCTAGCACTCTAGAGGCTGAGGCAGGAGGATCACTGAGTTAAAAGCCAATCTGATTTACAAAGAAAGGGGCCAGGGAGATGGCTCAGTGGAATAAGTGCTTCCTTGGCAAGCGCAAGGGCCTGAGTTCAATCCCTGGTTCCGCAAAAAAAAAAAAAAAAAAAAAAAAAGACTCTGTGTCCAAAAAAAGGATACAACTAATGTATCATACAAGTCACTCATTTAAACTGTCTGGTGGTTTTTATATTACAGTCATATGGAGTCACCACATAGTCTACTTTAGAGCCTTGTCACCACCCCACAGAAACCCTGTACCCATTAGCAGTCACTTCCCCAATCCAGCCCCTACCAAGCACCCATTTGCTCTCTGGCTTTTTGACTTTGCCTATTCTGGACATTTTATATAAATGAAATCCTCCACTGGGGTCTTTGATGTCTGGCCTCTTTGGCTGAGCATCATATTTTTACAGTTCATCTATGTGATACCTCGTATCAGTACTTTGTTCCTTCAAGTAGACTAATATTCCATTGTGTGGCTGTGCCACTTTCTGTCTCTGCAGCCACTGTTGAGACCATCTATTTTGTTGTATTCTTGCTTTTATGAATAACGCTGCTCTGTATCCATCTACAAGGCTTTTTTTCCCCCTTAGTACTGGGAATTAAACCCAGCGCCTTCTTCTCACTGAATTACATCCCCAGTTCTTTATATTTTATTTGGAGACCGACTCAGCCTAAGTCACTATGTTGCCCAGTCTGAGTTCAAACTTGTAATCCTCCTGCCTCAGCCTCAGAGTGCTGGGCTTACAGGCACGCACCACCACCCCAGCTTCTTGGACAGGCTTTCCCCAGGCTTTTTGGATATGTTCCAAGGGTTTCTAGCCAGGATGGTGGGAAGGGGCAGTGGAGAGACCAGTACAGCCATCCTGGCAAACAAGGTGAGTCACCAAGACCCCTGGGGACAATCTTTGGCTGCTATTTGTTGAACCTGAAGGATGCCAGAGGTGGGGTGCAGAGAAAGGCAGGCCAGGCTGAGCTTGAGGCACTAGAGGACGGGTGTGCAGGGTATCGCAAGTGTTTTCGCTGGAGCCAGGAGACAGATCCAAGCCAGGAATCAGACTCAGGTGGTTGGCATGTCGGGGCGACCACGGAAGCCAGAGGAACAGTGAGGCCTCAGACTGACCCTGTGGAAGGAAGCAGGAAGCCACAAAGGAGCTGAGCCCAGGCAGAGCAGCAGGAGGCCAACCAGGAACATGCAGCACCTGGACCCGGAAACACAGCGCTGTGCCCACACAGGCCAGAGCCTCCCCCGGTCTGCACCTTCTACCCACTGATCCTGAGAGCCAGAAGTCAGATCCAAATTCCTGCCCCTCAGCTCTGACCTCAGGGCCTCCTTGCTGTGCGTAACCAGGCCCTTAACCTTTTACCCCTTTCTTTATCTGTCTAAAAATCAAACCAAAGGGCCAGCGAGATAGCTC